AAAGTACAGAATTTCTGCAAATCCAATTTTGCCGATTTTTGGCCATCACACTTCTGTTCCTCTTCCGGTGCAGATCTCAACAGTCTAGATTATTAAAAAAAAAAAAAAAAAATAAAAAAATAAAAAAAATAAAAAAACTCTCGACAACCTTAAAACTTAGTTACCTCCCCTGGAGCGTTACTCAAGCTAATCGTACAGCACTAAACTCAGCGTTCTTCATTTCACAAAAAGAAAAAAAAACTTTCAGGTGAAAATGTCTTTGAAAATGAAGAACCTCCATATTCGACAGAGCTCGACCGTTGCGACTTTTCCATCTTCAAAGGAACAAGATTTTAAGACGTCGAGGAAATCTATGCGACAAAGCTGCTGCTCGCTATCCCCCCCCCCCCACCACAAAGGGGTTCCTGAAATGCTTCCATCATTGGAAACGACGCTGTGTGTGTGGCTCCAGAAGGGGACTATTTCGAAGGAGATTAAATGAAGAATTGATAGGTGTTGTAGTTTTTATACCACAAGGCCCGATGTTTTATATATATATATTTTTTATCAGACCTCGTGTTTAACATGGAATTATCATTTCCTTACCGTTGCCAATTTTACTAAAGCATCGCGTTCCGCATTATCGCTTGTAAACTCTGCCAGTCTTTTCAGGAATATCTTCGAAGGAGGCGTCGTGATATCGAGAAAGTAAGTCAGGGCCTTTCGAGGAGAACACGAGGGGAGTCTTGTGTACGGCTGCCACTTATCACCTGTGATATATATATATAAAAAAGTTTCATTGATCATTTGACGTAAACACACATCGGAGCGGCACTCCTAATTTAAAAGTGCGATGAAATCGGATGTTTTTCAACAGATCTTTGTTTTTGAAATAAAACAGAACTTTTATTTTAAAAAATAAGAAAGTTTTTTCTCAGCTGAGTATATATCAGATTCCTTAAGCTGATTATTTTACAGATTATTTTAGTTAACTATATAACATATTTTTCAGTTGACAATATAATAGATTTCTTTTTTCAATTATTGTCAGATTAATATGACCATCATATATCATGAATATATTCCACGATTATTATTAGACAGGATAGACCAATAAATGCTCCCTTATTTCAGATGGGTCTGGAAGCAGTGATAGTCTAGATGAGTAGATGCCAAATACTGACTTAAGAAAGCGCCTTATCTTCATAATTTTTTTTTAAAGCATTACACCCCGAGCAAGGCGTGAAGCCACTAGGATGCAGGGGGTTGCAGAAGATTTGGAGCGAGAGCAGATAGGAGTGATAGAAGAAAGGATGAGGAGAGGGATAGTGGATAGATCAAGGTAACTGGAGATGTCAATTGACATTACATTTGAATAGTTGGAGATTATAGCTCTCAGGGAAACAGTAATAGGGAAGGGTGTTCCACGGGCGAGAGGTGCGAGGTATGAAGCTATTGGAGTAGAAGAGACGGCTACATTTAAAAGTTTCTACAATGTAAGGGTGGAAGCGGGATGCCAGCCTCGTAGGGCGCTTGAATTCATGGAGTCTGGGAACCAGTAAAAGCAGCTCATCGGAGCAATTACCATGAAAGTATTTGTAGAAAAGACAGAGAGAGGCGACGGCGCGTCTGTGAGAGTGTGACTGTAGACGAGATGCCAGATCAGGGCCAATTACATTACATATCCGTCTCGAACTGGTTGAACAAAGGAGGTATGGAGGGTTTTCTATTGTTCAGGACGATCTTGCAGAGCCGCCAATAATCTTTAGAGCCAAATTTGCGAGATGCAATACGCTCCTTCATCCGAGCAGCAAATATTGACTTAGCTTCGTTGAGGACACGCTTACACTCGTTACGGGCGGAGGCAAAGAGACGTCTATTGCAGCCCGACATGTCGCTACGAAATAGGTGAAAGAAGTCGTTCCTATGGGCAATTGCGGCTGAGCAAGCAGCGGAGAACCAAGGGGAGGAGTGCGACTTGACCTTAAATTTCCTCGAGGGGATGAAAGCGTCGATTCCAGCTTTAACCCTGGATGAGACCTCAGAAGCACATTCTTGGACAGGAAGTGTAAAGACAACATCCCAGGGGACATCGCGGAGGAAGTCACGGAACGAGTCCCAATCCGCTCGTTGATAGTAGAACGAGGTTCTAGTGATAGGAGGTTCTTTGTGGGGTGTGGAGATGAAGGAAATGTTAACAGATACTACAGCATGATCGGAGTTACCAAGAGGGCAGAGCTGCGTGGCGCTACAAGATTCGGGGATGGAGGTAAAACACAGACCGAGAAGGGAGGCCTTACCTACCAGGTTGAGGGCAAAACGCGTGGGGAAGTTAACTATCTGCATGAGGGATTGAGAAATTGAGAAATTAAGTGTTTGGATGCCTTCCAGGTCAGTAGTAGCATTCTCGAGCCACTTGGTATGATGGGCGTTAAAATCACCAAACACGAATATGTGAGCAAATGAGTGGAGAGAGAGGGCCTTCTCTATGCTGTCAGATATGCTATCAAGTATCCCACAGTCTTGAGAGGATGGAGAGCGATAGAGGAAGAAGAGATAGCTTACGGTATTGAGGAGAGATAGTCGGAGACACATGTACGAATGGTCTGGCGATTCGAGAGACAACTCTCTGGCCAGAAAGAGAGGGTCCTTGACATAGACACCAATGCCGTGCATGTGGGTTAGAGAGTCTTTCCTGAGGAGAGGAAAGTAGCCGGGGATCGAGAGATCAGAGGAGGAAATAGACGAGACAAGGTTTGTCTCACACAGACCCAGTATATCCGGGCAGTTTACAGTGAGGAAAGATTCCATACTGCAGAAATTTGTTCTAATGCACGGATGTTGGAGAACGAAATGTTGAGGGGTTTAGGTGATTTTTGAGGGGCTGGTTTAGGTTTACTTTTTTGGTTCTTTTGAGTCTTCATGTGGAGTAATTGTTGGAAGATGAGATGGCCTGAAGTAAGAGAAGCAGATGGTTTTCGACCGCGACATGAGCAGAGAGGAGTTGGCACAGCCTTCATCATAATGTGGCCTCAGGGTTGCCCACCGGAGGGGACTGCAGGGACACCTTTCCATGCGCGTTATGGCACTACAAACACCCCGGTATTATACAACTGTTGATCAGAGCGGCCGCTCAAGACGCTACGCAAGAGTTAGGGCTCCTAACTATCAGTCGGAAACAGCAACCAGTGAACTGTCAACCGTGTACCCTCAAAATGAAGAGGCAATGCCACAGACTGCACACGCCAGGGGAGAAATACATCAGCACTAGTACAGAGGCCAGAGAGAGAGAGAGAGAGAGAGAGAGAGAGAGAGTGTGTGTGTGTGTGTGTGTGTGTGTGTGTGTGTGTGTGTTCCGGGAACCCCTTCCTAGACAGGAAACAAGGTGTGAGCCCCTGCTCATGTCCAGGAGAAGTGGGAGGAGTGTTGACCGGGCGGTAGGAGGGTCTACCTACTCCTATTACATATAACACATACAACAACGACAAAAAACAAACAGAGGGATAAGGGCGGGGAAGTAGTTGACAGTGCCCAGGCTGACACTAGTTGTAGGTTCAGGGGGATAGGATGGAATTTATTAGTATTTTATCCTTACACAACACTAAGTTTTAACTTAGAATAGAACAATGGGACTTATACTAAAGAGAGAAATGAAAAAATATGATTATCCACCTTTTTGCGGATATGGCATAAATGCTAGCTCACTTGTGGCAGTGGGTGATATTGGTAGCCTGCATGCATTCTGATGGTCACCAGTGAGTGTTCCACGTTAGTACATTTTATCTAGCAAAAGACAACGCAACTGGACCATAAGAATACTGAAGACATACTAACGCCTGGTGAAAAGACATTTTTCCCTTCTTTCGAGGGGGTTCCAACTACACAAACATATAGTGTTGTGAGTTAGGTTAGAATGGTTAGACCAAGTATCAATGTTAAATTAGTCGCTGAGAGTTGGTAGGGGGGGGAGAACAAAGAAAAATGGATAAATAAATAAAATAAATACATAAATAAATACACGAATACGTTGGAATATATATATATATATATATATATATATATATATATATATATATATATATATATATATATATATATATATATTAATTTAAAAATATGATTCCAACACGCTACATAAGAGTTCTCATGTTTCAAAACAAGAGCCGAAAAATAATAACAATAATACTAAAGAACTTTGGATTATTTACCTAACGAGTTCTTTCCTATTTTCTATATTTTTTCACACACACACACACACACACGCGCGCACGCACACACACACACACACACACACACACACATATATATATATATATATATATATATATATATATATATATATATATATATATATGTAGTAGAGAGAGAGAGAGATGCTTTTGGATGCGTCTCTGGTAGAACGAAATTATACTCACACATGGCAGAAAGTGATTGTCCGCTTGCATTCTGATGGACGCCATTGAGTGTACAGCCAGCCCTATCTCAGTGCCCAAGCATCAGGTTACAGATAACGCAGTGTTGGGGGCGGGGGGGGGTTCAGCGACCATTCCTACCCGCCACCAGCAGTGGGCTTGGGGAAATTTGCTTTAATATATAAACATATTTATATAATATATATATAGTCAGCGACCAGGCAGATCACTCTCTTTCTCTCTATTAAGTAATCATGACCCGACTACAGTATAGATGTTAGGTGGTTAATACCAGATAAACTTCATAAGTCATTCCTACTAGCACTTCATACACATAGGCAAAATGCTTTCCTCTCTTTGAATCTGGACTACAAACTCTAGAAAAGAACACTATCTGAGTGAACAACTATTTTTATTACTTAAGTAATAACTGAAAATAAACAATTTTTTTTCAGTTGAGTATATGAAAGATTTTTTTCAATTATCAATATAACAAATATTTAGGTATCACAGTAATGAATAGTGGCTCGGATTGAGGAATCGGAAAACAGAGTTCGAATTTCAGTAGAGTTAATTTCATTCACTTACGTACTAATACCCTTAGGTATGAATCCATCTCTTATGGGCAAATGAGCAGGACAGGCTGGCTCCTATAGCTTGGCTGCCAACTATTTTAAGAGAAAGAAAACTCTGAATTCAATCCGACTGAAGATGATTGGACTCCGACAGGCTAAAAATATGACTATGATGGCCATACCATCCACATAACCAAGTTTGGTATAGAATATTTATCTATATTAACTCGAGAGATCAGAGGAGGGAATAGACGAGACAAGGTTTGTCTCACACAGAGCCAGTATATAACTGAAAATAATACGGGGATAGGATGGAATTTATGGGAAAAAGTATGAATTCACCTCTTTTCCCCCAGCTATGGATTAATTAGTAAGAGTTGTATTATTAAACCATTATTCTCTTAAGAAATTCTTACAATCTAAAATATTTTCTAGCTTTAAATAACCCGCAAAGAATGAATCAATTTGTTTTTTGTAGTATGTGAAATTAACATCTTAATTATATGATTATTTTCTCTTCTAGTTTCATGTGATATCTATTTCTGTTGTTGAAAAAAAGTTCAAGTGAGGTTAATTTTATTATTTGAGAATGCACTTTGCGATTTATAGCGCCAAATTTAGGCCTTGATGGAAGAACGTCTTTAAGATTTGAAAAAAAAAATCATTTCAAACCATTTTTAACCATTGAAAAAACAGCTGTAAGCAGATGATAGTTTTGACATTTCTGAATGTATATGAGGTCACGTGTGACATTCATACGAAAGTGTCGACATGACGAGGCTATTTAAGAATGTCACTCGAATTCTCTGGTTAACATATTTGGTTTGTGGCGTCTTATGGTGTGGGACAAAAGTACCCATCGAGCAATCCCTCCTAAGCTCAATTTCCTTATATCCTTACTAAATTTGTTATAACTGATCTATACACCGAAGCATTTGAAGTTTAGAACTTATTAATTTCACATTCTGAACTTTTATGTTTGATTTAAATGTATCATCACAACTCACTAAGGAACCTTTGTTGATTGTTAATTTCTATTGTGATAGGAGCTGTCAAAATGAAAACTTTCATTTGGGTTCATATATATATATATATATATATATATATATATATTGAACAATAAAAAATATTAAAAAATTAGAATCTTCAGACACACTGGGTTGTATATTAATATTCCTTCGTTTTTATTATTATTTCATTTACATTCCTCAGATATATATATATATATATATATATATATATATATATATATATATAAAAAGATATGTTTTTTGGTACAAAACTTTATGACAGCCATAAAAAGACAAAATTTATTTTTATTACCACTCATTATGAGAATAGATAAAAGTAAAACTGAAAAACGGGCTAGCTAACCGGTTTCGAACCTCGCTCAACAGAGCTAAATCGAAGTTAATAAATTAAACTGAACTATCACAAAAAAGATGAACAATATGTATTGAAAAAAAACTATTGCTTAGATGGAAATTAGTTGGAGGCCCAGTACGAAGTGCTTCTGTTTACACAGAGGTGGCTTCAACGATAAAATATAAATGTCCTCCAACACTTTCAAGTGGGGATTCGAGTGGCACTTGCTAATAATGGTAAATGAGTCCACAGTGAAACTAGTAGCACAATTATGGCTATTTATTAGATATACTGCGATGGAAGACGTATACGCATGTTGAACTGGCTAAATGCAGACGCCATTTCTACTCTAACAGTTTTTTTCTCGCACTTCTCACCTGCGGAACACCCGTTCGATTTCTTGCTTCTCTAGTCATTTAGAATCTTCAAAAATTTAAAGTGCAACGTCAATCGCCATCTTCTGTTTTCTTGAGCTCTGTTTAGTATTTATCCTTTCCTCAATCCTTCCTATTCTCAGTTTTCCCATTTTCTTTCACTTTCACTTTCACTCTCGGTAACACCCTGTGTTCTAGTGATATTATCGCCTTGCTTGCAGTAAAACAAGTAAAAAAAAAGAGGGTTCAGAATTTATCAATTCGATATTCTGAATTTTTATTATGGATTTAGATTAGATACCATCACTATGCTCATTCCATTTCCAGATAATGGTTTCTGCTACTAGAAAAGGTTTATCTGAAGTCTCAGTTCTTGAAATAATTGCTATAGACTTTTGATCTATAATAATTCTAGTAAAAGAAGTCAAGAAAAGTCAGACCGATATATACAGGAATTCTTACCATCTTTGACTTGCATTTCGACGTCCTCATCAAAACCGGGTATCATGTGCACGTAATTCAATATGTTATTCACTTCGTGGGAATCATTAATCGGGTAGATACCCACGTGGTCCCCAGGATGGTACTTCAGGTCAGGGTGACAATTCAGACTAAGAGAAGCGTGCATCGTTTGGCGACTGAAATAGAAATGAAAACAATATAGATTCCTATATATGTATATACTTCTCAAAACAGCAGGGTAACACTACGACGTCTGTTTGGAACAGACCTTGTCGTCCAGCTTAATTATGCAAATGAGCAACATATATCATGAATATATTTTACGTTTATTAT